CATGGGTCCAATTTAGGTCAAAATGGCTAGAAGTTGGGTTTGGGTTAGGCTAGCCAGGACATTGAGCTCAGTTGATTGGTCATTATTATGTAAATGATAGTCATGAAGATTTTTGGTGAAGGATTGAAGTAATTTTAAGTTCAATTGGAAGCTCAATTTGAAGGATTTTGGAATTTTGGTCAATTTGGGTATGTTGGACTAGATTTGGCTCTAGGTTGGGCTAAGGTTGGGCTAAGTCCAAATTGATGGTTGAAAATGGTCTATAGGAATATCATAAAGAGTTTTCAACATAAATTGGATGTAAATTTTGGGGTTAGGGCATTCAATTTGGTGGAATTTGGAGACATAGCCAATTTAAGGCAAATTTGAGGATTTTTAAATACAATTGAGGCTTCACCAAGGCCAATTGAAAGTTTAATTTGGTGTGTAGGAGTGTTATGAAGATTTTAGGATTCAAATTGAGGTAAATTGAGAAAATTATGGGGTTCAATTAGGTGAGATTAGGTCATACAGCCAAAATTGGGGGTTTGACTTAGATCAAAATTGAGCTCAAAGCATGGGTCAATTAAGCATAAATTTGGTTCATATTGGTCATATGAAAGGTGAGTTTGAGTTTAGAATTGAAATTGGGGGGGAATTTGGGCTAAATTGATGGACATTTGAGGTGAATTTGGGGAAATTGGGCCTTTAAAGGCAATTTGGGGGTTTTGGTCAAAATGGTCAAATTGGCCAAATTGGGTTCAATTGAAGGATCAAAATTGGATTAGAAAACATTTGGAGTGATTTTGGATGTTTTGGGGAATTTTGGGGTGCTAAGGGTATTTTTTTAATTTTGGAGATTTTGGGGGTATTTTGGTAAATTAGAAATTTTTGGGTGATTTTGGATAATTTGGGTATTTTCAAATGGTTTGAAATGATTTTTGAACAAATTTGAGTATTTTGGGTGAATTTGATGATTTTGATCAACTTTAGAGTTTCAAGGGCATTTAGGTAATTTGGGTGGATTTAGGGGCAAAATACCAAGTTGGACATTTTTGGTAGAATTGGGGTGCCAACCACCATGTATGAGCTATGGATCACTGAAGTCCCCTCTATGTATTGGTCGTAGCTAAGCCCTAGCCTAGGGCTAGTGGTTCCAGGGGACCATCTACATGAGTCTCCCAAAGATCAAGGGATCAAAGTCAACAATTTTGGGTTTTAGGATTGTGATTGTGGGTGATAGTGAGTGCAAGTGAGTGAACTAGCTCTAGACCAACACCCAGAGTCAACCCTAAGGTCAAGCAGTCGTATAGGGACTCTCCTTGAGATCCCCCATACTAACCCCACCTACTAAGTGCTAGAAGTTAGGACCAATATGTGGAACTTCAAGTTGAGCAAGGAAGAGTTTAGAGTTTCTAATGATGAAGGTTCCTTTCTAGTTTTCTAGGAATAGTCAATAGAAAAGCCCTATTGCTAAACCCTAGGCTACTAAAGAGGGAAAACTAAACCTCAACCAAAAGTGAGGTCAACAACACTGAATTGGGGTAGAGAATTAAAATTGCTCATATTTGGCATAATACATATTTAAATCATTTTTCTCATTTCATTTTACCAAAAACTCATTGTAGTGGGAAAGATGCATTTTCATATTAGAAAACTTCATCATATTAAACATAGTTTAGTAGTTACTGTTTAAACTTTGCATTTTAATTTTGTTAGTAGTAAATAATTTAGTTTTGATAGTATCTCAAACAATTCGAAATTAGTAACAGTAATTTCATTTTATTTCTGTGAATTTTCTGGTTAATTTATCATTTCAAATTTAAACCTTCCTCATGGGATCGATATTTGGGGCTTAAATAGAAAGTCTTATATTACTTGATAACAATACGTATACTTGCGTAGAATCCCAACATAAATTGCTTAAATTTCTTATTCATAAAATAACACATCAAGTTTTTGGCATTGTTGTAAAGAGGAGTCAACTTTATAAGCTTTACACAACTATATTTTTTGGATCACCCCACTAGAATTATTATTTCAGTTAAAGTTAGGATGATTCCTCCAACCTGAATTATATGATTTGGAACAAGACATGTTAAGTCTGTTATAAATAGAATTTAAGGTCTCTAATGATGAAGTGTTAGAGTCAAACTTTTTTCCACATGAATTTTCTTCAATTGTTAAAGGTATTTAAGGTTAGTTCATTCCAAATTGGTCTAGCTTTCTAGATATTGCGACAACTTGAGAAGAAAAAAATGAAATCACATATGTATCATGAACACTGGCTATCTTTCTAGGATTTACCTTTTTAAAAGGCCATTAAAAATTACTTGTAGAAATCTCTTCAATTAAAGATTAAGCTTCATCAAATGACTTTGACATGAGTGAATCACCAGCAAAAACGTCGATGATAGATCTAAGAGAATCTACTAACTCATTATAAAAAGTTTGAATGATTAACAAATCAGGCAAAGCATGATGTGGACACTCCTAATAAGTTTCTTAAATCTTTCTCATGCTTTGTATATTGATTTACCTTCATACTGACAAAATGTAGTAATGTCATTTCTAAGTTCAACTATTTTTTAAGGTGGAAAATACATAGGAATTTATGAGTTAAGTCATTTCAAGTTATAATAAATCCAGGTTCTAATCAATTCAACCATATCTTAGCTTTATCCCTTAAGGAAAAGGGAAAAATCCAAAGTCTAACAACGTCATTTGACATGTCATTATAACGAAATGTAGTGCAAAGTTCTAGAAAACTTGTTAAGTTTAAGTTAAGTTATTTTGTTGAGTATTCACTATTTCTTCTACAAATTGATGAAGTCCTTTTTGTTTTCTAATCTTTCTAATTATTCTTTCTAATTCAAAATCGTAAGGTACAAGTCCTAAAGGTCCTGCACTACGGATACACAACTAAGAGTTCAATAAGTAAATTACAGAAAAACACACAAAACAAACACTTAAATATAATATTTTTTTTAGTTTTTAATTTGTTATATTTAAACACACAAGCAAAATCTTCCACAAAGAAAACTACAATATGCTTTTCAAATTCTAAGTCTAATTAATCCAACTATAATTTTCCTAAGTCAAATTAACCGCCACACTTCCTTGGCAACAGCGCCAAGAACTTGATCGACCGTTCGGATATGTAGCATTTTTAGATGAAATATTTTAAATCTAAAACATGTATCATAAATTTTATAACATGAGTTTTTGCAAAATTTAGCATTACACACTAGATATTTTACACAAGCGTATGTATCACTCAAGTAGTATCATATTTTTTAGTTCAGAGTATTGATCCAACATGGAAGGCTGTTATTTTAAAGACTTAAGAAAATATCTAGCCTACAATAATAAGTCTTAGCCTCAAAGTAAAGTCAATTTAAATAATGTTTGTAAAATTCTACCAACTTATCACTAGACCTAATGATTTACTCTAAAGTTAATTTTACTAAAGTTAAATAATTTGAGAAAGAACAAGTTATGAAAAATACCCTCTCCTTGCAATGAAATAAGTAATGTGTGTAGGAATGTAACACTTAGAATATAGATTGTAATTAGTGATAAATAGGAGCATACATCTTCTTTACCCTCTTTCAAGTGCATAAAGAAATTTGGTTTAACTAAGTAAATATTTATGCACGTCACCATAGAAACCTCCAAGTTACCCCATCAAAACCTATCTCCCAATCTATTTTCACTACTTCATGGATTACTTTTCCTTCACCCAATAGTGCAATGTGATTTCTGCTAGTTGTTAAAGCCATAGCCCTCTCAAATCATTATGGATTCACAACATGTTTTAACATACTAATTGATGAGATTGATAAGTAAATGAAGCATGAAGTAAAAAATTTGTCAATAATGAATAAAAACTTATTCTAAATGTATCCACATGTCCTACTCATACTATTACTTCATCACAAGAGAAAGAAAAAAAAAATACTCACAATGCATGAAGAAAACACAACAAACCATTATCTTATAATAAAAAAATTAATACACAATAAGTTTACAATTAACATAAGACGATATAGAATGAAACACTCATCTTTCTTCCTGAGAAAAGAAGTAAAAACTCCTCTCCAAATGATCTACAAGTGTTACTTGCACTGCTTACAACAATCCTTTACAATATCGTCTCAATTCTCTCTAAAAAAATGCAGAAAAATACAAAATCTAACTTTGAACTCTACTTCCCCGCACAATTACAATCTTTCCTTGACTCCCCAAAATGGTCATCCCACTGTTAGAATTACTTCTCCCCATTCATAACCTTCAAATTCGTCCATAACTGCTGCAGAAATTGCCCAGGTTAGTTCTAGCACCTAGGCGCCACCTTCTCGGGTAAGCAGGGCAAATAATTGGCGCCTAGGCGCCAGTCTATGTTGTCAGACGCCATGTTCTCAGTTTGCTGGACATCAATTGGCGCGAAGGCACCCATTTGCGGCGAAATGACACCATGGAACGACGCCAAAAGCTGGCGCCTAAGCGCTAGAAGCTGGCGCAAAAGTGTCAATCTGCTATTGCTTCATTTGCCTTGTTTTTACTGCAATTTGCTCCAAATCTCCTACATTTTATAATTGCAACAAAAACATAAAAATATCTTCCTTTAAAGTGTAACTTCATAAAAATTAAAGTACTAAATATAAAAGAAAATTAGCATATTACAAAACATGTCATTGCGTAGCAAAAAAAGCACATTTTTTTGTTTTTTAAAGAGCGGTACCCGCATTTACACGAGAGGATTTTTTCTTCAAAAGCAATAATTTTCTGGCTCCAAAAACACCCTTAATTAAATTACATTATTTAAATTAGAATTAAAATGAAACTAATCATTAATTAAAAAATTATAACATTAATCCAGTATAAAAATAGTTATCTAATTATATCAAATTATAAATAATATTTCTATCCTTAATTTAATATCTTTAAATTAATTGATATTAATTATTAAAATTAATTTTTGAAAATTTGTGTTAATTAACTTAATTGAAAGCCACACCGTCCCCTCCTCCGCCTTCCCGTGCCGACCCGAAACCCTCGACGAAGCACCGGCGAAGAAGTGGCGACGGGAGCCTTCGGGGGAACTTCTCCGTCAATTAAACCCTCGAAGTCAAATAATAAGCGAGGAATTCGCGACCGCGCCAACACAGAATCCTCGACGAAAAAGCAGGAAAGAAGTCGTGGAAGTACTTTCGCATTTCTGCTCTTCTAAGTTCCCAAATCGGCCGAGCTGCATCATTTATTAAATCCGAGGTTCAAAGAGAAAAGGAGGTAAATCGGGTTTCAAGAAAACGTAGGTTAAGTCCTAGTTAAATCCTGCAACCAAATGCCCCCTTAGATACTGCATTGATGGATACAAGTTCCTTTAATCGTTTGCTTTTTTGATACTTAATATTCATAAAGCTGTCTACTATCGTTTGTGTTTTCTTTTTCAAGATAATGGCGGATGAGCACATAATGGAAGAGGTATTGGTTGAAGAAAATAATGTGATTTCAGAGAAGGTTCGTGCTTATACTGATAACCAACTTGATCAGAGTGGGAAGATTGGTGAGGCTGACATTGGAAAATATGTGGCTTCCCAGGTGAATATCATGCCTGTAAGTGGTTACTTTTTTCTGTTTAGTGTTATTTATTAATTTGATTTTTCAGGTTGTTCCAGCCAATTGTATCGTTGAAGGATCAACAGATAGTAAAGAAGTGATCAATCTGCATGATGGTGACGCCAATTGTGATGGTAAAAAGGACAAGAATGAGATGGATATGGATGATAAAGTGGTTGTCATGGATGGTAGAACTCCTCAAGTGGGAATGGTGTTCAAATCATATGAAGAAGTTGTTAGCTTTTATAAGCTATATGCTTTGAGAGTGGGCTTTGGTGTTGCAGTAAAGAAGTCATCTTTTACACCATATGGCCTTTGCCGTCGGCTGGTACTCGTCTGCACTAAAGGAGGAAAGGGACGAGAAAACGCTTGCTATCAATCCCGTCCCACTGCCAAGACAGACTGCCAGGCCATGATTGTTGTGAAGTTATGGGGTGATGGGTTGCTACATTTAATGGAAGCACATGTTGAGCACAACCATCCCACCAATCCATCTTCAGCTCGTTTCCTAAAATGCTACAAGAAGATGTCTACTAGAATGTCTAATATGATTGTGAGAACAGGGGGACATGAGAGTATATCAGCTGATGGCAGGGAAAGCTTGAACTTCATTGATGGAGGCAGACTGAAGCTTGAAGAAGGAGATAATGAAGTTATTCATCAGTTTTTTGCTAGAATGCAAGCAAAGAATCCAAATTTCTTTTACTTGATGGATCTTGATATTGAAGGTCATTTGAGGAATGTTTTCTGGGCTGATGGTAGGTCCAGGGCTGCATACCAGCACTTTGGTGATGTTGTTTCATTAGATACCTCCTGCCTAAAATATAAATTTTATATTCCTCTTGTTTTATTCATTGGAACAAACCATCATGGACAGTCAATATTACTGGGTTGTGGTTTGGTTGCCGAACCAACAGTGGAGAATTATGTATGGGTATTGAAAACATGGCTGACTTGCATGCATGGGTCAGCTCCAACTGCTGTAATAACTGACGAGTCTGAAATGGTTAAAGATGCCATTTCTGAGGCATTTCCAAAAGCGCGTCATCGGATTTGTTTATGGAGGATGATGAAAAGTGTCAAGGAAAAATTGAAACAGTATGCGGAATATAAAACCATTAAAAGAGTACTGAACAAAGTAGTATTTGATTCATCCCAAGTTGATGAATTTGAAGAAAATTGGAGTAGATTGATCAAGGAATTTGGACTCAAAGATGATGATTTATTTAGCTCATTATATAAACTTAAGAGCTTTTGGATTCCTGCTTTTTTGAAGGACACTTTTTGGGCTGGAATGTCCATCACCCACTACAAGGAGAGAATAAATTCATTCTTTGAAGGTTACCTGTATGTTGAGACATGTTTAAAGGAATTTTTAAACGATTATGAGGTGGCTCTACAAAGTAAATATGAAATGGAAGCGCAGGCAGATTATGAGTCCTTCTACAATGCTGGTATATTTGTGTCAAAATATCACATGGAAGAACAACTTTCAAAATTATATACCTTAAATATTTTCAAACTATTTCAGGATGAGCTGAAAGGGGGGCTTTATTGTCAAGTCTCACTAATCAAGGTTGATGCCACTAGCTCTACCTATAAAGTTAGAGACTGTGCTTTTATCAATGAAATTGAAAAGACTGAAAACAAAGACTATAATGTGCTATACAATATTGATGGTTTTCAAGTGCATTGTTCTTGTGGATTCTTCCAGTTTAGGGGCATTTTATGTAGACATGCATTGTCAGTTCTCAAGCTACAGCAGGTTTATGACATCCCAGCAAGGCATCTTGTTGACCGTTGGAGAAAAGATTTCAAGCAACTCAACTTAATGTCTCAGAAATTAAAGGATGGTTTGAACAGTAGTACAATGGAGCGCTATGATAATTTATCAATGCGTTGTCTCAGCCTTGTAGATATTGGAATAATGTCTGATGAGAAGTACCAGCTTACACTGAAATTAATTAGGGAAGTAGAGAAGTCCCTTCTAGATGATAACTTGTTCCGTGACCTGCAACGGAGACTTCTTCCATTTGACAATAGGTTAAGTGAAAGTGATGAGAATCATGCGTCACATGAATATGGCTTATATGAGGAGAACAAGAATTCTCCATCTTTATCACTGAAACGAAGAGGTCGACCTCCGAAAAAGGTAAAAGAGGTCAGCCTGGAGATGTTACCAAACTCAAACAAGAGAAAGGTATTTGTTTGCGGTATGATTTTTTTTTTTTTAATGTTTCTGTTTTTATGGTTATTGATAGTAAATCCTGTTGATGATGCATGTATAGGATACCTTGGGAACATCGATGATAGATAATCAGAATAGCTTGCTTCAAGCTTCTCCGAATGCTTCACAACTTGCTGCTCAAATAAGAATACCTGGTGGTGTCAATCTGATGGTTCTCAAAAGCTTAACCAATTATTTCTATATTGTTATTTTCTATTTTATAGAAGATTTTCTTTTTTGGTAAACTTTGGTGATTTTGACTTTAGGAGGAAGTCAATCCAAATGAAGTACCATTTGGCGGCCATTACGGAATCCACGCTAACCCGCCAGATATCATGGGTAACCATACCGCTTTGCAATCCGCCAATGCATTACAGGTTTGTAAACAATTCTAAGCTTAGTGGAAAGAGGGAATTAGAGTGGCCTTTGTGCTTACATTCATTTATTTGAGCTATTTTTAATTTAATATTGCTCTTTTATCTTATATGACTAGGGTGTAACTGAGGCAAGCTGACTCTTGAGATAGTTCAGCTTGGCTCGATAAGTGGCTTGTGAATTGAGCTTAGTGAGCTAACAAGCCAAGCTCAAGCCAGCCCTGGCTCGAACGTCAACCCGTGAGCCGATTTGTTGAAAAAATAATGAATATAAAATATACTCAAAATATATTTATTAAAATTCAAGACTTTATTTTTTAATTATTTAAAATATTAAAAAAAATGATATTTTATATTTAATATTTTTGTTCAAATGATTTCTTATTATTTCCCTCATGATTGCTCATTATATTTGTCATTTTATTATAAAATTAGCTTGATATAATATTGTTTTTTGACTTTCATAATTAACAAGTTGGTTGTGAGCTGGGTCTAAGTTGCAGAGTTAAGCTTAAGTTGGTGCTCAATCTCAATTATTAATCAAGCTCAAGCTTAAGCCTGGGCTACTCTATATGACTAGTAATAGGATTTTCTTTTTTCAATTACTTTCTCAACATTGATAATTTACAGTAAATTTGCTCTGTATATTTTCTGCCTTACATTGTTGCTTTCATAGCAGAGCCTTGGCAACCAACAAGGGGTGCAATGGTTCTACCAACCGTTTTTTCAGGTTTTAAATTTGTTTTGGCATATTTGTGTCATTTTGTTGTTTTCTTTGGATTATGATTACTTGATATGCAATGCAGGAAGATCAGCCACCTTTTGGGCGGAGGCCCGGATGAGAATTGGAACTGCCAGTCTGCCATTCCTTCTTTACTTTTTTGTATGCTACACGGCATTCTTTCTGGTTCTGCGATACTGGTGAATATAAGGTCTGTTCAGTTTTAGGATCGTGGAATTTTTTTATGTTTTTCTTATACACAAACTGAATAAGATTTTATGCCATCTGGAATCAATGACTGCTTACAACTTTGATGTTGCTCCTATTTGACAAAATATATGTCATTGTTTTAGCCTTAGTACTGATAAAAGTTCTACTTTTTTTAAATTTTTTATTTTAATTTGATTACTTTTGCTATACTTTAAGTTTGAATTAGTTTAAAAGCTAAAATAAATGTTTATCTGCACAAGTATATCAAGGCTCTAGGTTCAGTGGGAGTTGATAAAAATGTTCACAAGCACTCTTTCATATCAAATTCTTTCTTGCAAATCTCAAATTAACTGAATATTGATGTTTTGTGAGCAGCAGTTTATGATTTTTTACTAGAGCAGGCATGGGAAAAAAAAAAAAAAAACTAGGAGAGTCGTTGGAGTACTGTTATATGGTAGTTTTCATTGGTGTTGTTGTTTATAGTTTTGTGCGTGTGCGGCATTGTTGTAAGTAATAATGGCATCACTATCTCTGGCAAAGAGCAACAAACCAGCACAGCCACCACATATGCAGAACCTATCTCAGATGCACACACTTAACAAGACAAACGATCATCACCATCCATGTTTAACAGCTCCCTGCAGGCCCATGAAGCTCTGATAATAGTAAACCTACAGCTGTGTAGAATTATCTTTCCTGCATATTTTTCCTTCTCTGTAACTCGTATTATATGTATGAGGAAACATAGTAATATATGAACTTTGTTGTTTTCCCATCGGTAATGAAATGCCATAATTAAGCCATTTATCGTGGTATCCGAGCTTTTTCTCAGCATCCACTTCTCTTTATTCTCTTTTTATTAGTGAAACTGACCCTCCTGTCTATGGATCATTCTGCATCCTCCTCCATTAACAAAACAATAATGAAAGATCCTGCCTCCCTCATAGCAGATAGTATCTTCATCCCTTCTTCTCACTGATTCTTAATCTGAAATGGCTCAATATCTTCTTCAATTTTAAATCATGGTAAAAAATCAATTCAACACTTCTGTTAAAACCTTACATTTGGATGGTGACGGTGAAATGTTAATAAAATTCTTCATAAATTCCTAACTGCAATTTTCATTATTCATCCATACAACCTCTCTTGTACTCCAGAACAAAATGGCATGATTGGACCTAATGGTTTCCACATAAATAAATCGTATGCTAGTTCTCAGGGCAAAGCTACTTTACCACTTGTGGATCGATATTCTTCTCACTGCAGTCTATTTAATCAACCAATTACCCTAAAAAATCATAGAAATGCAGTCACCCTACCAGTCTATATGACATACCTCCCACATACTCCCATTTCAAAGTCTTTGGCTGCTTATGTTTTCCATGGATTAAGCCACAATCTCTTCATAAAATTACTTCATATTCATCCTGCCATATTTTCCACTACTACTTCACCTACTACACAAAGAATACATATGCTATAATCCATAAAATTACTTCATATTCATCCTGCCATATTTTCGATCCACAACAGGAAAAAACTATCATTACTCGTCATTGTCATCTTCAATAAAACTAGCTACCCTTACCATCAATAATTGCCTTCACTTCCCATGACCTAGCCTTGCTCCGCTCATTTGCTACCTTTTGCTCTACCTCATACCTCCCGCCTCATTTCCAACTCTACCAACCCTTGTTCCCCATCTCCAACCCTGATAGCTAGCTGCATTGCCTCATCATCTTCCATTTATGCCCACTAGCCAAACATCTCCTCCACAAACTCCAATTCCTACCAGCACTTCTCAACCACAATCGGAACCATCTCCACCACAACCTCCAATCCCCTTATTGTAGCAACATCTCACCTCCATCTCCAACATACACCCCATGCTAGCTGAAGCGTCCTCTCAATCCGCATCACTGTCCAACAATTCAATTGAACCCATCCTCTTATATGCAAGCAGCTAAGGACCCAAATGGTGACTGGGCATGTCATTGGGATTCCATGCTCTCTAAAGACAAGGGATATGGTCTTCTGATGCCGCACTCTCATGACAATGTACTTTGTTGTTGCTTGACATTCAAAAATCAAAATCAAACTCAACTCTATTAATATTGTCACTTGACATAAAGATCATCTTGTTGCTCAAGGACGCACATAAGAGCATGATACTGATTACTTGGATTGCTAAAATGCTTAGGATCAACATTTACTCTATCTTGTTATTTAGGATGGAGATGCATAGAAAGGATGTTTAAAGATAGGCATCACTATCATATATGCACTCTTAAGAAATAACATAGTTCTAGTGAGTGAGATATTTGTTTGAATTAGTAGAAAGGGAGAGGATTTTTTATTTGCACTATAAAGATTGTGTCAATGATTTATAACTTTAGTTGGTGTGATGGTAATAATTGTTAGTCCTGTTATTAGAAGATAACATGATACTAAGAAGCGATAAATTTAAGTACTTGGGTCTAGTATATAGAAGAAGGCAGTTATAGCTATTCGAGTTAAGTTTAGGTGATTCAAATTTAAATTTAGTTAAATTTAACGGAGATAGAAATTTAAATTTTATTAACATACAATTAGACCAATCGTATTGTTTTACTCTATGAGCTTAAAATTAATCAGGGCACATGTCAAATGTAATTTTGTTGATAATAGTAAGATGAATGTGTGAAGAAATCATGGTGGACTGATTAAAAAATTATGTGAGATGGATTGTGTGAATCTATGGAATTTAAGATAAGGTAAATATAATTAGGTGATTTCAACTTGTAACGACGAAAGGTAGAAATGTACAACAATAGTGTGGTTAAAATTACTACGGAATAGTTAGATAAAATTAGGTGGAAAGGAGATACCATAGGTAACTTGAATAAGATGTGCAAAAAGGTTGAGGGAAAATAAGCTTTTAACAGTTCATACAATATTTATCTTGAATGAAAAAAGAATGAAAATTCATTAAGGGGTCAATTGGTAGTAAGTATTTGGAATTCTAGAGAATTCAAAGTAAAGTGTAAAGTAAAATCATGTTTTTAAAATATTTTGCCAGTGTTTTGTTGAGTGTAAAACAAATGTTAGATTTTATCTCTTTTTTTGAAGTAAAATGAATTTGCTGTAAAACTCAGTGATGGTGGTTGGCAGCAGATCAGTGTGTTGGGTAGCTTGTGGCAAGGATTGGTAGTAGTGGTGGATGGCAGTGACGGTAATGACGTTTCTGTTGACTGATGATAGTCAATGATAATAACCAGTGGTAGTAGCAACGACTTTAGATGCATTTAAAATCCGATCAATTTTGGAATTCACTAAAATTGAACTAGGAGATAATGTTTATTCCTCAAAATTTTATTTTAATTTTTTTGCAAACCAATGCCAATATTTATAAAACCCCCGCGTTTACAAAATTTGAAATCAAAATCCTTCAAATCAAGTAACCCCTAAGTTAACTCTAAATAGATAGTACAAGCCTGATGGTAATGATGACAATTAGCTAGCTGGTCAGCTACAATGAAAGCTAATGATGAAAACATGTTCGTTTGTGACTATCTTGAGGGAACTGCGAGTGAGTTTTGGCTTGTGACTGTCTTGCTGTTCTGCATGGGTATTCCAGTGGTATCTATAAAAGCAGTGCATAATAATTTAGCAAGATTGATACAAGTTTAACAAGCCCATCTATGTCACTTTCTATGGGAGCCGTCTATGTAATTTTTCTATATCCTATCGCCATTTAAAATAGTGATGCGTTGATTTGATAAGATTGACATCTATGTTTGATTTTAACATGGTAAGAAGCTCACATTATTTTATCAGAGGTCCATATCTTTGATGATACCATTCTTTGAATTTGTATAATAAGGTTACTTCTCCATTCAAGTTCTATTCTTCATCACATAACTTAATTCTTTCTTATTACTCTTCATCTTGATTTCAAATTTGGCAATATGTGGCACACCTCACCTTTTTTGGAAAATCTGCAATTCGGCTTGCACCTCATGGGGCAGTATATATGGCTAATGCTTCACATTACATGAGGCCCATCTCAATGCGCATCTTGCCTTAGTTTTGGTGAGGCATATGCAATTTAATCTATTTTTTTCATAAAATAAATATAAGTAAAATAATCTTAATTGATATTCATTATTTACCCAACACTACCATTTGCATGTCCCAAGCCCTGGAAAAAAAAGTGGAGGATTGTGTTAGGTAGTTGACCGTCAGCATGAAAGTTTTATCGAAAATTATGACATTGAATCATTTAAAACATTTTGTTAATGTTATGACATCCTTTAGAAGCGATGCATGTAAGAGTCGTTGCAACGACGCCCTAGTGTAGTGTTAAATAAATAAAGATTTTCTTTTTATGGACAAACGAGAGCAAAGAAGTTCGTCATAAAATTAATATTATGATAAAAATTTAAAATATGTGTATTTTCACAAGCAAACTAATAAATTAGTAGATATTTTGGTTCGTGGGAAAACAAATATTTTATGAATCCAAGACACTAAATATCTTGGAGAAAAACTAAGAAAATTGATCGCTTAAGTTTCAAAATTTTAATATTCAGGTTGGAGTCGTATAATATAAATAGTTTAGGTGTAATTATAGATATGAGTTTAAAAGAAATGTTGTAAAAATTAGTAGAATTACAAATATAATTGTAGCTCTAAAAATTATTATTAATAATAACATTCTTAATATTGTAAGTGTTGATCCCAAAGTGAATTTGGATATATGTTAAAAAGAAATTTTGGAATCACTTAAAAATATTATTGCTGGATATATGTTGGTAGAGAGAAAATTTTAGAAGTATTTATGATTGTTATAGTTTTGAAGTAATTCATGAAAAAGGTAGTCGTATTGAATTTTATTTTAGGCTATGATGTCTTTATTTCTAATACTTTATTTTAGAAAAGAAATTGACAAATTATCACTTATGAGAATGAATCTAATAAATAAATACAATCGAAGTAAGTTTTGAGGGCTAAGGACAACAA